GAGGTGTTTAGGGCACTCGTTTCGAAAACATCACAAGTGCCAAAGAATTTCTTGTCGAAATTGAACAGTCGCTTTGCAAAAAGCGATAAGGCGGAGGCAAGCACTCTTCTTCGTAACTTGATCTCCATGAAATATCGAGGCAAAGGAAATATCGTGGAATACATTATGAGCATGTCTAATATTGTTTTTAAGCTCAAGGCACTAAAGCTTGAACTCTCAGAAGACTTGCTCATTCATTTGGTGTTGATTTCTCTTCCCGCAACGTTTAATCAATTTAAGGTATCTTACAACTGTCAAAAGGATAAATGGTCTCTTAATGAGCTCATTTCTCATTGTGTGCAAGAAGAAGAAAGGCTAAAACAAGACAAGACAGAAAGTGCTCATTTTGCAAGCACCTTTAAGGCTAAAGGCAAAAGAAAGAGATCGGAGGATCCCAAGAAGGAAGTTGCTAAAGGTCCAGAACAAAAGAAACAAACTCAAGAAAATAAATGTTTCTTTTGCAACAAGACTGGACACATAAAGAAGCAATGTGCTAAATATCATGCTTGGCGTGAAAAGAAAGGGTTGCCTAAACTACCGGAAGCCAACTAATTCTGAAAGATGAATATACGTTGAAAATGGCAAATTGGTGGAGATGGAGACTATTGAACATTTTAGATTATTATTGTGTACTGGTTTTTTATTTTAGATTTAAAAGACATTTTTTGTCGTGCCGTCTTTCAGACGAAATTTGGTTTCAGTTTCTTATTTGGACAAATTAGGTTATTTGTGTTCATTTGGAAATAATAAGTTCAGTTTGTCTTTTAATTCAGATATTGTTATAATTGGTTCATTTTTTTAGCTAATGATAATCTATATTTACTTGATACTGTGGTCATCTATAATGCAACTCTTAATACAGAATCTCGTGGTACTAAACTAAAATTAGACTTCCGAACAGTAAGTAGTTACTTCATTGGTTATTCTGAAAGAGCCAGGGGATATAAATTTTATGATCCCACATTAAAGACAATTTTTTGAGATGGGAACTGTTATGTTCTTTGAGGATATTGAGTTTGGGGGGAAGAATAAGATTAAGAATTTTGTATTGGAGGAAGAATCGACAATAAATCCATAACCGATTCAAACAGTTACTTTTAATAAAGTAAGTTCGGAACCTCCACAAGACATTGATGATAAACCCCATATTCAAGATGATTTCATTGTTCGTCAAGATTAAACTCAAGATCCTCAAGAACCTGTGCGTCATGAGTCGGGGATACTCCCCTTACTAAGGGAGACAAGTTTAGTCTAAATTAGTGCCCAAAGGGGAATTTAGAAATTGAGGAAATGCAACGGATTCCCCATGCATCAGCTATCGGGAGTTTGATGTATTCCCAAATATGTACGCGTCCAGACATAACATACATAATTGGGGTTCTAGGCAGATATTTAAGCAATTCAGGAATAGACCATTGTAAAGCAGCAAAAAGGGTCATAAGATATTTAAAGAGAACAAAAGATTATATGCTCACATACAGAAGGTCAGACCAGTTGGAGATCGCTGGGTTTTCTGACTCAGATTTTGCAGGATGTCAAGAATTTGTAGCATGCTATGAGGCATCAAATCATGGAATATGGCTGAGAAATTTTGTCACAGGGCTGCAAATTGTGAAAGGCATTGAAAGACCACTTAAGTTATATTGTGACAATAAATCAGCTGTATTGTTAAGGAAAGAGTACAAAGTGGACAGATTTCCATAGAACACTTAAGGACAAACTCCATGATAGCATATCCTCTAACTAAAGGACTTCCGCCCAAGGTCTTTCATGAGCATGTTGCTCACATGGGTGTTTTACAGTTTGAGGAATTTGTGGTTTAGTGGGAGTTAGTCATTTTCATATATTTTATGTTCTATGTTTAATTTTATATATGTATACATTGCTTTTAGGACATATTTGGTTATCTATAGATATGCGGTTTTCTTGTTCATTCATTACACTTTGTACATTAAGGTTATTGTATCGATCTCGATAAGTTAAAGTTTGGACCAGTTGAAAATAGACGTGTACAGATCACCTTCACGTAATTTTTCATGCTACACATTTCATGATGAATCCATGTCATTTGGTTATGTCAGGATGAGTAATCTTGTTGGTTTTAGTTGCGATGATGCAATGAAAAGCTAGTTTGGTTCTATATCCTGATATGATTAATGGACAGGACTTTTGGAATATGTTAAAGGAATATAATGACAATTTTGAGCTCATAAAGTCTAACACATTTGTAAGGTTGTTAAAACATATATATTTGTGACCAGTGGGAGATTGTTGGCAAAATTTGGGTCATGTATATATATGATACATAATTTAAATGTGTTAGGGTCATTATTTATTAAGCCAAATAATAAAGTGATCTGAATAAACTAAAGTTTTGGCTAAAAGCATATGTCATGAAAATAAAATTGTGTAGAGACCATAGAGTAATTTCTAATTTGATGAGGGGCCAAATTGGAAATACTAAAACTTAAGTAATTAACCTAATTTTGGTTATTTAAGGGGTCATGGTCTCCTTCTGGGAGCACACACACAGAACGTAAGTTTCATTCCCGTTCTTTTCTTTCTATCCCCATCAAGAGAGAAAACCCAGAGGGAAATACAGGTGCTCTCCAGGTGGAAGACCATAAGATCAATAGTGCTCCAAAAGGGACATCATCATTATGGCTAATTCAGGTACGCTTTCGCATTTTGGTTTATAACATGTTTACAGTATGGGATTATTTTATGTTTGATCATTAGAATGAAGATCATATTTAATTACAGTTTAACCTAACACTCATCTCCGTCCTCGTTGGGTTTCGGGTTTCCGCCCCGTTCCCGATTTATATTATTTTTAAAAAGATAATTACATTTATAATGAATTAATTTTACTATCTATTTTTTATATATAAATAAATATTTATAATTTATAATTATTATTAATTAAATATACATTTTAATTTATTATATTTATATTAAAATGTGTATGTAAAAGAAATATTTAATCATTTTTTATTTATAATATTATTATTATTATAACACTGTATTCAAATATTTGAATATTTATAACACTATTATTATAATATTGCATTTAAACATTTGATTATATATATAAGTTAATTTATTTTTAAGTTGTCATTTAAAAATATGAAATATATTGTTTATAAGGAAATATTTAATAAGTTAATTCTTATTCAATTAGTTCGAAGTAATAAAAATTTAAATTATCAATTCCTTTAATCCTTTAAAATACAATTATTTTATTAAGATAAAATTTGATATATGATAAATAAGAATAATAAGATAAAAAAATATGACATAATAAAACCCGATAAATATAAATTATAAATAAAATAATATTAGTTACTACTTTATGTAAAATATTTAGAAAAAGATAAAGAATAAAAAAAAATTAACTTTGTGTTCATCAAATTGATTGAAAAGATTGAAAAAAAAAACAAATTGATGGGAGAGATTAAGGAGATATGAAAAACTGAAAGGTAAGAGAAAGAATAATGTAATAAATTCATTGATATAAAATATTAAAAAAGATAAAAAAATTAAAAAGTGGGTAGAAGAAAATTTTTTTTGTGAAATATAAAAAAAAATGACCTTATATGTAAAAAAGAAAAGGAAGTACTTTTAGAATATTAATATTTTAAAATTTAAATTTAAATATAAAGTCGGCGTGGGACGGGGTCGGGGTGGGGATTGCATTACCCATCCCCGCCCCGCCCCGATTTTTTAAAGTGGGGAAAACCCGAACCTGCCCCGTCCCCGGTCAACTCGGATTTTTTCTGTCAAACTTGGGGCGGAGACGGGTCGGTTTCCACGATAATAGTCACGTTATTACTAGTAAAATAATGACAAAAACAAATTATGTATTTTAATGACATCTACATATCAATTATTATTAAAAATGTGTTGTGATATTTTTTAAATTATTTTAAATTTTTAATCATAATTTATTTATAACTTTCATAATATATTTAACATTTTAATAATTATTATTTTATAATAATTGTTATAATAATTATAATTAAAATATATTTTTCCACCTTATTCTATCTTTTATCTATGTTTTTTTTCTCATTCTTAATGGATCATATCTAGTTAAAGTTAGGAGATAATTTTTTTTTCTTTTTCCTTCAACTCTTCTCATTCAATAATTTTTTTTTTTTGGAAACATCTTTCTTCATCGCAAATATCTTCAACATGTAGAATGAGTGCGAGATAAAAGACGAATATGAGGTGAAAGACGAGTAAGAGATAAAAAATAGATTATAAGGTGAGAGCATCGGTGAATTTTCTTAGGAGATGAGGAACCTCAAAATTTTGTAAATTGTATTTGTATTTATGATTTTAGTCTTCTAAACTTAATGATTATTCCTAAAGTTTTGTAACTTAATTTATGATTTTGACCTTCCCAAACTTAATAATTATTAAATATTCTTGTTTCAATATTTACAAATTTAATCTCTTACCCTTTTATTTTTTTTCATATTTATTTATTATTTATTAATAATATATTATTTGACCTTCTCAAAATCAACAGATAAAAAATGAAAAACAAGTTAAAGAACAATAAAACCTTATAAATTAATTATGAAGGAACAAGGTCAAAATCTAGTGACAAAAAACATAAAATAACAATTATATTTAATTTTACAACTATAATTACACACCATCTTTACATATTTTGTTAATAGTCCTTCTACCCAACATAATAGTTTTTCAAAAATAAACACACACACACAAAAACCCACATTTCTACGCTATTATGTATTAACATGTGTAGATCGCATCAATACACACGTTATTGATTTATTTTAAGGATCTAATTAAGAAGTATCGTCGAGCATAATCCTACGTCCAGTCTAACAATGATCCAATGTATAAGTTAACAACATTAAAAAATGGTAAGCCTGCAATACCTTATCGCGACAGTAATAGGAGTTGTAAAAGAAGAACCATAATAAACATCATGGAGAGAGCTCAGGCACTGTGGAAAGGCTGGGTTCCCATCTCAAACTCCTATATGATCTTCCATTAGGAAGAGGTGGAGAAAATGTTTTCTTCACTTTTATTCCTTTTTTTCTTGAATATTTTGCTGACTTAACCTTTGCAACATAAAAATCTTTTGCAAAGCATTGAACTTTCTCTACATCCTCTCCACATAGGGACACATTTATCTCTGCATTCACTTTCTTTCCTCCATCCCCATTTGCCTCTTTGACTTCATCATTCTCATGGACTTCGCATTCACTGGGAGATAGAGTTATTCTTGTGTTCATCACATCATGGCCTGCTACTACATTTTTGTCATTCTCTTTTGGTTTGTGTCCTCTAGGAGACCTAATGATGTTTGGTTTCAAATTTACCACCCCATTGTGCTCTTTGGTTTTGCCATGCTGATGACGTTTACGCTTCAGCTTCTCCACATCTTTACATGAGATTATGACATACTTGTGACCAAGCACCAACTGCTCTTCAGGCCTTAGCACTGAGTGTTGAGGAGCCGTGAAGACTTGTGCTCTTGCAACACACATCCCGGGGTACTTAGCCATCAACTTAGATGCTGGGAATGCATGATTACACAACTCTTGTTGTCCACCCTTATGAACTATCCTCACATATAGATCCTTTGTTCGCAAACCATCCTCAGGGAATGTCTTGGTACCTCTCACTTTGTTCTTTCTTGGATTTTTATTAGTGTTCTCCACTAGGCCTAACGAGTTGACAACACGCTTCAGCATAGCGTGGTGCAACTGAAAGTTGTGCAGTCAAAATGTTTCATCCTCGCCACACAATAACTGGAACGCAAGGAGTGAATGAACATGAGAACAAGTGAAATACCCCTTAAACATTATATACTATAGGTTATTTTTGTTTCTTATGGCCGGCTGTATATTACTTGATATTTTGAGAGTGAAGAAAACGAGGACTTGCATGTTCGGAATTAACTCCATGGCTTGATTCTGCGCTGGGCACATTCTTGTATAAGGAACTTACTACTGAAAACCTGGCTACCTTGACATTTTCTCATGGAGAAAGTTTATTTGACGATCCATTTTCTGCTAAACAACTATTATAGACAACTAAACATGTTAATATAATAATGATATTTAATATAATATTAATATTTGTAACTATAGTTGGGTTGTTTGGGATGCCAACATATCACCCTCTTTTCTCATGACATAGGTCTAAGGGAGGGAGGAAACAATATCTGAAAATAAATAAAATAATATCCATCATGGCAAGTTTGTTTCAGGTTCTTCAACACATAAGAAATGACCAAGCTGTTGGACTCATCGCATAGATGTCAAGGAATTTTTTGTTGATTCTGCTGCCTCGTTGCTTTCTCCACAGGAGACATTGTTTCGCCATAAGAAAAAACATAGAATAAGCCAGAGTTCAACCATCTGAATGGTTTTTGGTCCTCGAAAAATATTCATTATCTTCTTATAAAGAAAAAAGGAAAAGAAAATATACTTTTGAGTTAAATCTTGAAGATAAAATCAACATTTCATTACTGGTGAAATAGATACAATTATTACCGTAAAGTTTAACACGTCCTTGTTATCCATGTATCTTAGATTATTAGAGGAAAGATGTGAGTTTCATTTCAGCCGTTAATATGAATAAGCACTTTGTTGCTGAAATATTGATGAAAATATAAACAAAAATCTAGTTGGAATATTACGATGGTTCTTCAAATAAATCCTAATGTATTACAAGACGTAAAACCGTTTATACACTCTGTTCCTCCCTACTACAGAAGACAGGAATATGTATGTAGCATAGAAAACCAACAAAATGAGAAAATTACATTCACACTTATTAATACGCGTTAAGGTATTATATATATTTTGACAATGTGCAGGTGACTGTATAAGGCTAAATTTGTTGCCAATAAACCTATTAGTCTGTTTCCATCATCATGCAATAGCTTTCGTAGCATTAAAAGTTCTCCATTGCTTGAAACTCAAATTTTATAGACATCAATTTTATGAGTACAAAGTGTCATAAATCACGGGCAGGTGGCATTTTTCAAAGAAAATATCATCTAGTGCTAAATATTTAAATTACATGTCTAAAATGGACATGCTATACGGTCATTGGCAGTATCATTTGACCCTTCTCAGCATCTTGACCGTGAATATTCCCAACGACCTAGTTACATTCGCTTTTGAATCTGCTTTAGAACCTGTTATGGTGAAGTCTTTCTGAAGCCGCTATGCATTTTAAATCAAAACTTCTGCAGCTTCCTTCTTTGCTGAAAACTATACAAATTTTCCTGTATAGTACTATAAATACATCGATCAGCAACAAGGAAAAAAATAGTTGCTGCCTCACTGTAATGCAATATCTGCTTTTGAAACACAAATCATGCCATGGCATCAGCCTGTTTCCTAGTTAACCGTGCATACAAACCATCTTTTAAGATCAGTTCCCTGTGACTTCCAACCTGCATGAATAGATGTCAATGAAAAAATATGTTTCCGATCAATGCAAAGAAAGGATGTGAAAGAAATTAAGCATAGCTTATTATTCAGACACGTAAACTCCAAACAGTTTCAATAATGCATGGGATGTTAAAGAACCCTTATTATTCTACCCATAAGTTCAGTGAGGACAACTTGACGTCAGTTTTATATACATATTATCAAACAAACAAAGAAAAAAAAAAAAAAGATGATCCAATGGAGGAGGTTCCGGTCAAGTAGGGTCTAGGAAGGGTAGATAAACAGAGTCTTGTCCCTGTAAACAGAAAGGCTGTTTCCAGGATTTGATTAAGCGACCTCTAGGTCACAAGGCAAAAACCTTACCGATGAACAATGGCCTCAGCCTAAGCTAAATAGAAGTATGGCAACAATTACCGTCTTCATGGTCTAGCCTATGCTATATCCATCACGATCCAGCAGAAGAGTTAAAGGCGTCAAATGCATAAACACAGTACATGCATAACCTTCTAAACTTAACTTCTTGGTATGTGTTTTAGACTGTTAAAAAGGCTGATGAAAATTTTAGGGCATAGGGCATTCAAAATGAATCAACAGTTTACCAACCTCAACAATTTGACCACCATCCATCGCCACAATCCTGTCAGCTGCTTGTATGGTAGAAAGCCTGTAAGGCAGGTCATTCATTTCAAAAATAATAGTTGGATCACCACTTAATTCAGCTAATTGACACTGACACGCAAATTATCACCTGTGTGCAATGACTATGACACTTCTGGTTGCAGAATCACTTCTCACAGATCGAAGAACACCCTACATATTGTGGAAACTGAAGCATCAATATCTTTGAAATCTTTCTCACAGTTAAAAATTTAGCAAGTCTAATTGCAATCTGGCTTGTTGTAGTTTCAGAGGCACACCTTGACATTATGCTCACTTTCAGCATCTAGTGCACTAGTGGCTTCATCAAGGATCAATATTTTTGGGTCCCTAAGAAGGGCCCTAGCAATAGCAATTCGCTGCTTTTGTCCTCCACTTAACAGATCATCATCAACAAGTGTTTCATAACCATTGGGAAGTGCTGAGATAAAGTCGTGGGCATAGGCTTGTTTTGCAGCCCATTCAATATCCTCCTGCTTTACATCTCGTGTACATCCATATCTGATGTTTGAACTAATATCCATCCGGAAGAGTTTGGGTTCCTGTACAAACAAATTTTTGGTAAGAGAAGAGAAATATACATGCGCTGAATTTTGTCTTTGCTGGAGACGTAAACCTGGCCCACATATCCAATTCTCTCTCTCCACCACACGATGTCCAAGTCTTTAATAGGGATATCATCTATCAAAATCTGCAACAAAACTTTGTGTCATGATGATATTAAAGGAAGATACCGTCTGCTCTCAGAATACTACCAGGCAGCCTAACTGGGAATAGGTACTACATCATATATTATTCCGTGAAAGAAACCTCTAATCAATATCTATAGTTCAGGGAGCTTATTATGTTCACATTATTATTGGACTAGAAACTTAATATATAAACTACTCAAGTTATTTTGGGATGTAAGTGAGAGAAACGTGAAAACTTGCCGGTAAGAAATCTAAACTCTAAGGTCTAAGCACCTAAATTCAAAACCCATGATAACCATTACCTTAGAAAGCAGGAAATAAAAAAACCATCTGCTCTGCTAGAACTTCTTATGCAGTCTAGAGATTAATCCAATATGTCATGTGAATTATCCAATTGAAGAGAAGATGGTCATTTTACTAGGACAGATAGATACTTTCCTTTCAACCACTTGTATTAGCAAAAACAAAATAGTCCCTCTTCCCGCCCAATAATAATAAAATTCAGTATCTTTATTCTTTTTCATATAAATTTCTTGTAAATTCAATATTTTTTAAACCAACCATACGCGTCCACCCCATTGTAATGAGATAAACTAACTCTACCTGACCATCTGTAGGCTCATATAGACGGAGCAAAAGATTCACCAACGTGCTTTTTCCACTACCACTAAGTCCAATCTATGCCACAAATCAAAGGGAACAGCATATTAATATCTTATCCATAGTGCAGGGAAGGAATGAATTGAAGAGATGAGATGCGGCTTCTTACTATTGCAACCACCTCACTAGGATGTACAGCAAAGCTTACATGTTGCACTACAGATACCTGTTACAATACCTGCCAGTACTTAAGCCAGTATAACTCACAAATAACAACAATATTAATTCCACGTAGATGCACAATCAAATTGAATACACAGGGCAAAGCTGCTAGTTTGAAATCTAAAGAATCATATCCATAATATAACATGAGAAATTGCATTGAAGTTGCATGCGTGCACAAGGGGTGTAGTATAGCGAGGGAGAATGCATAAACACACTACAGTCCAACCCCCACCAAAAAAATTTCAGTTCATTTTAAAATTTAATCAGCATTCATTTTTATATTGAACATGCATTTTCCTAAAGTTCATGTAAGATGCTGTACAACTTCACTGCATATCTCCCCGCACAACTTACAGTCATACACCACTAAAAAGAGAATAATCCATGCAGCCACTTTGTTCAGGGGAGGGAAGTGCCTAAAATCTCAGCTACGAACTTTTTTAGTCCTACTGTAGCAGCATTCATCCTGCACTGAAGTGACAGACGAACACTGACAGTATCAAATACCAAGCTAAATGATGGAGTCATGACCATGAGCAAGAGTAAGAGTAAGGATCCACTTGAAGAACTTGGAGGACATATGACAAGAACTAGAGCAAGGGAAGCAACGAAAGTTATTCAACAAGTGTTTAGTTTTTAAGTTTGTTTAAATAATGGCTCAATCTTTTGTAAAATTGGCTGACCAAATTATGTTTTTGATTAATCAATTAATAGGTTTTAATTTGGTTTTGTTTCAAGTTGTGATAAGGACCCAATTGGAAATTTAGGCATCAGCCTTTGGAAGTCATTAAGTAATTTTCAATTCCTAGGATAACGGATCATTATTAGTATTTATTTTTCTTTATTGAATTTTTGTAGATGACAAAACTTCTATATAAGCTAAACCATTTTTATCAAGAATACAAGTTGAGTTTTATTAAAAAATATTAGAGTTTATCTCTTTTATCTTAGTGAGAGTGATTCTCCTCTTTTATCTTAATGAGAGTGATTCTCCTAAGCTGAGATTTATTCAGAAATATTAAAGTTTAGCTCTTTTATTTTAGTGAAAGTAATTCTCCTCTTTTATCTTAATGAGAGTGATTATCCTAAGTTTTTAAGTGATTTAAGAATCTTTGGTTGTATCAGAGGACTTTCACATCCTTTGTGAGTTGCCTCTCTTGGGAAGAGTGATTTTTTCCTTCGACCTTTCACATTCACCTTTTGTTCTATCTTCACCATAACCCAGAAAACTCAATTCTGCCCAACCCTGAAATTTTCACCACTTTCTAATCCACTTTCTCATTAATTTTCTAAATTTCTTACAAAGTTCTAACCCTAAAGTTCCTAAGTCAACCCTAGTGCAAATGAGGTTCATATCAGTAAATAAAGGTGTGAGAAATAAAGGTCTACCGTTGGCCTTGAAGGATAGTGAAAAGATACATTTAGAAACTCAATATGCCCTGTTAACCTCTGCAACTTTATCCCTGCAACAAAGATACACCCAACCATCAATATAGTAAAATTAAACCAGACAAAAAGTTATGCTGGAATTCATTATGGTTCACAAGAGTTTTTCCTTTCTCTTATTTGTTATTTATTTATTTATTGATGTAATGATGTTGCTAGAGGAATCAGAGTAGATGCACATACTGTAGTTGCATAATAAATAGGTGACAACACACGAGATAGCTGCAGGAGACAGCTTCGTTTGATAATCTAGTCAGTTCACTACAGGTTTTGCTAGTTTTTCTTAAAACAAAAATCTTTTCTTGGTTATGATGACCAACAGTGTCAAGCAAGTATCAACAGAGAGTATCTAAAGTTTTAAAACAATTCTAGTTGGTATAAGTGTGAGCATCCTGATTACAGGTAAACTTCAAAGTTTATTTATAGCATAGTTTAATACAATGATAATTATCCCTCACAATTAATGGATATTGGGAGAATGGTCAATTTGATCCTTGAAAGTGTATGAATGTTTCAATTTAGCCTTAGAATTTAAAAGAATTAAAATAAAATCTCTGAAAATAAACTTTCATCTTTCTCATCATATTTCATTTCAGGTAAGTCTTTACATGTTATTATTAAAATGTAATTTGGTCTTTGTATGTTATTATTAAAATACAATTTAGTCCATATATGTAAGGACTAAATTTCATTTTAATAATAATATGCATGAATTTATTTGAAAAGAAGGAAGAATGTTAACAATGAATGTTATTTTTAGGGACAATTTATAAATTTATTAACATTTAAGGACTAACCAGAAAAAAATATACTTTTAAGGACTGAAAAGACCATTCAACTGAAAATATTCATGGTCAATCTACAAGTAGAATAAGAATTGAACATGCAGGGACCAAGCAGTCTCTGGATAGGTGATGACTTGACAAAATTAAAAAGGACTAAACTAATATGAAGGTATTTTATTCATATGAAATATTTGAGCACAAAAAATACTTGCCCCTTTCTATGAATTGGCTGCTAGGTGAGAGATCTATTAAATGAAATACTTTTTCACTAGCCCCAACTGATTGCATCAAATTGGATACATTGTCTCCCACCCACCAGGTAGAGTAGATCAACCATTCACTGTATAGAATAAACTTGGTAAGTTTCTCAGCTGTGATATGACCCGCTAGAATAGACATTCCTCCAAATAGCACAGCAATAACCTATAAAAATTAATGTTTCAATAAAAGAACAAGTCAATTATAAAGGTCTAGCTAAACTTCAGAAAAATTATTGAATCCTAGCAAAATTTCCTGCATAAATAAGATTACAGGCTTAAAGGGAAAAATAGGAAATAAATAAAATAGAAAAATATCAAGATTTTAGAAAACCTTAGCCATACCTGAGTTGAATGATAAAGGATGTTAAAGCTAAAATTCCAAACTCCATAAGCAACACTTTGGCGCAAGCTGATGTCAGCTAATTTCCCCAGCCACCATTGATACCTGAAGATGGAAATGGAAAACATGCATATTATGAAAGAGAAATAACAGGAATGAAAAAAAAATAATGAATGACATAATTGTAAAAGCATCATGACCTTCCGTATTCTTCTTCTTCTGTTCCATAAACTCGTACAGTTCTAATAAGAGAGAATGTCTCTTGAGCTACCTATGAGAAAAATTGTCATTACAATGACATTCAGGAAATATACAACAAATTATAGTATTCGATATCTTATTCTACATCGTTTGCAGAAGCAGTGACTTCTTGGATCAACCTTGCTGCCTTTTTCTGGTACCTATGCAGAAAAATATGACCAAATCAATACCAGTAAGATAAAGGAAACAACAAAAGAAATAGGTAGAAGTCTAGAAGGGAACACAAAAGCAATGAAATATCAGTTTTACAAATATATAAATATATCAAATTCTCAATAACACCATTGTAGCAGACAAAGTTTTGGGGAGAAGGCAGAGTCCTTTAGCTTTTACAGAGACATATTTCTAGAGATCAGAATTGTCTATAGTCTACTAATTGAATTAGTTAAGAAAACTTCAACATGATTAGCATTGATCCACAATCTGCTTGATTTCATCGTCAGACATGCTACCTCAACTAGTCAATGGCAAGACCTAGAAATGCAAAATAATGTTTTTGTCTTTTTGAAAGGATGAATTTGAAGAAAATCAACCATGAGTTTACCTTCCGTAACGTAGCATAACTGCTGCCAATATGGAGCATATCACCAATGTACATAAACCAAGTGGCCAAGATAAAATCAACAAGTAGATCAATGAACCTCCCCCCTAACAAGACAAGAAAAAAACTATTAGAGGCTCCAATATGTGAGATGAGTTATACTAGCATTAATTCTATTAAACTAAGTCAACCTGAAGAAAGTTGCGCAATATCAAGTTAAGATCATTTCCAATAACCCTGGACACTTGTTGACAATCCGCCCCAAGCCTACTTGTCAAATCACCAACGGTTTCATTGTCAAAAAACGATATATCCTACAATAAGGACACTGCTGAATGAGTTAAATCATACACCATACAAAGGAAATAAATGAATGAAGCAAAAGAATCAGTTATTGAGTGCAGCCAAACCTGCAGAAGAAGAGAAGAGTATAGCGTTTCTCTCATTCTCTTAACCTGCACATATTTCCAAAGTTAGGAAAATCATATACACCTAAGAGTTGAAGAATACACAAAGTCAAAGCATCAGGAACGGGGAGGCTGCAAAATGACCATTGCTGAAGTACAATCTTAATTTGAAAACTGTAGCTGTTATTCAACTCTCTATAGTGTAATTTACATGGACCATAGAATCTCCATCCCCAAATATCAAAACTCACCAGAATCATGTTTGCTATGCCAAAACAGCAACCTCGTATCCCACTGAAGCATAGGAAAATGCTTGTTAGGAATGCTCACATCCCACCGGTAACATAGTAAGTTTCAAATGAAAAGAACTAAGAGCATCACTGAACATATCAAGAAAAAGTTCAATTTTAATAACATGCCATATAAGTCTATAATTAGTAGCTTCTCAGTAAACGTTTAAGGTCAAAATCAGCTTTATGATCTGTCTCAATAAACAGTTGACCTCAGAATCTTATAAAGCACCTCAAATTGTGAGAGATAACGATAGAAGGATTAAACAGAAAATCCATGGCGTTTTTTTTTTTATGGATAGTTCTTTCAGCAACAGCAGTTAAGACATACGAATCAAAGAAAAGAAAAAAATCACATCATTTTCAGCAAGTAGAAGGGAGATTCGACCATACAAGATTTTGACCTGCATATTCCCGAAGTCACGCACAACAGAACCAACAAACGCACATTCCGATGAAAAACAGTAAGGTCCGCACCCTGTGCCGAGAAGATGGACGCCGTCAAGAAATGAGGAATGGAAATCTCCGAAACCTGAAACCCACATAACAAAAGCTCACTACTTTAACCCCGCCTTCGAACACACAAAACACAAACCGAATATAAAAAAATAAGCAAAAAAAAAAAAAAGGTACTCACTGCAGCAACAATGAGAGCAGAGAAAGCAGCGAAGATGACCCATCTATCACGCGCCACAAGTTCCCACATTTTGCCTAGAGCGCGCCACACGGTCACCGGCTGCGCCACCATCTGAACGTCGATGTCGTCGGAGAAGTCCCACCACCGTCCGCCGGGGAGAAGCGACGGTAAAAAGCCGACCCATTTACGAATCCTCTCAAGTAACTCACCGACATAGACTTGTTCTGCGGAAGCTTCTGGATTGTTCTGAACGGAGACTCCATTGATAGAGGCGCACTTCAGAGGAGGTGATGCTAGAATGCGCCGGGGAGCGAAGAGAACAATTGGCGTTGCGGTGAGAGGGAAGCGCTTCTGAGAAGGTGCTATTAGAAGCTTGTTGTTGTGGTTGTTGTGGTTGTTGCTGTTGTAGAGGCGAGGAGGGATTGGAGGAAGTGAAGAAGGTGGGTTGCGAGCAAGTAGAAGAGGCATGGTGGGAAATGGCGTGGGAAGAGGAAGATGGGGATGGGATAACGGTGGGAGCTTGAGAGGAGTGTGTATGTTGTTGTGGACCATCAGAATGGGAGAAGAAAGAAGAGGGAAATCACATGGTTGATGTTGCTTCAGCTTCAGCGTTGAATATACTTGTTGTTCCTTAGCTTCACCACAAACGCACAACATCAAACGACGCCGTTTTTTATTCTCGTGATTTTTATTTTCTCGCAATATGCACAAGACAGGGATTATTTACGTTTTCTTTGATTCCATCTGTGCCGGTTTCAACTGTGTACGCGAAACACGTGCGAAATTATGATTATTAATATGCAAACGCAATAAATTCGCCAAAGAATTTGTGGTATTTGATAATCAAAATCCAACAGCGTTTACATGGATTCTCCCTTATTACGAATTCTGCAATGTGTGATGTCAAGTGTCTACAGATGTTTTTACCAGTCCGCGACATAGCTTGTTTCTTTTTCTTTGTGTTTTTTCTTGCATTCACCCCGTGCAAGTAGAATTTCAGACACAAAAATACTTGCAAGCGTGTTAAGCAAATACTGAAAGCAAAGATGAAGAGGCGTGTACATAATTCAGAGTTGGAGGAGTTGCCCTCTGAGACTCCTTAAACATCATTCAATGGCTCACGTTATTCGCAAACAAATCACAAGTTTCCACTTAGGTGTCCAGCCCAAGATGTTCTTGTCTCACTCCATTGCAATTGGGTCAAGTGCTTTGTTATTCTCACCTTTTTATTTTCTTCTTTTCTCCTTTTCTAGTTTTTATTTTCCCCCTTTGTGTTACCCTTTTTATCTGTCTTTTAATACAATATAATTTCATTTTCATTTTACCAAATTTTTAAAATATTAGCACAGAAAAAACCTTTTTCTTCAGATTCTTATGTGCATCTTTCTATAAAAAAATTAACAACAAAAAAAAAACTTTTTCCTATATATTAAAAGAGACAAGAACAAAAGTTTTTACTGTCTACCATCATTTATCTATCTGATTAAAATAGAATTATATTTAGTGAAAGATATTTATGGATTTAGGGTAAATTTATAAACATGTGACAATTTAGTAAAAACAATGAAATTTTTAATTTAGTATATATATATATATATATATGTATAATAAATATGAGAATTTACATTACATTATTAAATATTATGAAAATATTTTTTCCTTCAAATAAAATTACAACTATCAATTAAAATTAAATTTAACATCGCTTTATCATCAAACTATACATTCAAAAATCAATATGTACTTTTTACATATTTAAGTATTAATTTTTTTCTCTTTTTAAATTCTAAACTACTAATGTTTAATACATTAAACGAACAAGTTGATTATATATATATATATGTGAAAAGGAAGAATTAAGAAATCCGTAAAAAACAAAATAGAACTGAAGAGTGGGAAGAGGAGAAAAGGGGTGAGAATATGAAAATGCTAGGTCATGAATAAACGTATACTCTAAAGCCCACTAGATCTTAAGCACAAAAGCCCAAAGAAACTCTAAACCCTAGGATTTAAAAAAGTAAAGCTCACTCAATAAATCTCACCAATCACCAAACCCTAGTTCGTGCCGCCGAAGATAGAGAGAGCATAGAAATGACGACCCGATTCAAGAAGAACCGGAAGAAGCGTGGCCACGTGAGTGCCGGTCACGGCCGCATTGGAAAGCACCGTAAGCACCCCGGTGGTCGGGGAAACGCCGGTGGTATGCACCACCACCGGATCCTGTTCGACAAGTACCATCCTGGCTACTTCGGGAAGGTGGGAATGCGATACTTCCACAAGCTCCGCAACAAATTCCACTGCCCCATCGTCAACATCGACAAGCTCTGGTCTCTCCTGCCCCAGGAGGCAAAGGAGAAAGCCCTAAAATCCAAGGACACTGCCCCTCTCATCGACGTCACACAACACGGGTACTTTAAGGTCCTCGGAAAAGGTGTCCTACCCCAAAACCAGCCCTTCGTTGTGAAAGCCAAGCTTATATCGAAGATCGCCGAGAAGAAGATTAAGGAAGCCGGTGGCGCTGTTGTTCTCACCGCTTAGGTTTAATCAGTGTTTTTTAGTTTTCTCATACATTGCAAGTTAATGCGTTGTTTTTGTTTTGTTTTGGACATTTTTTCTAATTATATATTGCAATTGATATATTGTGCTTTTAATTACCTTTTTATTTGGTTTTTATCTGATCTAGCTTAATTCAAGGTTTATGCCAAAAGTTGACCTAATATCTTACAAAATTGCTCTAACTAGTTAGAAAATTTATAGGAGTAATTATAAATTGTTTTTGGAATGGTGTTGCCGTTTATCGATTGCGCAGTGTGTTAATGTGTTCTACGACCGTAATGAGTGATGGGATGAACTGCAATGTCGTTGAGCGAGCGGTGTTTGTTTGACAACCTATGTTTTCTGATATAGAAGTCTTTTTGCTACTTCACTGCTTCTGAATCTTTGTTACTACTACTTGCTTGAGTTATAATTGGATCTAGTGTAGGAATTATTTTATTGGGAGCTAGGTTTTAGAGTGGTAGCAGTTGCAGTATCTTGAATGCCAACGTGGTTTTTTTAAGGTGTGATGCGCAGACGTAGAGTTGTTGTTGTTTGATTGATGTGATGGGGATGAATTTGACATTTACAGAACTTGGATTTCGTAATGCTGTGATACGGATTATTTTCGCAGTTGCAGTTTGGATTTTTTGCAACTATATGGGTTTAACTCAGATTCTGAAACTTTTGTATTAAAATGAAATAACTTGGTTCCAATTGGGGTTCATTACATACCAACCTGGGTAGCTGTTGCGGATTGTGACGGAGGTTGCGGTGGTAAATGTGAGTTGGGTGGTGTGGTTGGCGGCGCAGGGTTGGGTAAGAGATTAGAGATGGTTAAGTGATGAAAGTTGAAAAGTTTATCTTATTTGGATTGGTTTAGCGGGTAGCCCAGCTCCTTCAAACCCATATTTTCTGAGTATTTGTAGTATTTATAGAATCATAAAAGGAGGATAGAGAATGCCTTTGTCTTCTGTATTAACTTGTTCATGCAATAAAAGACCCACAGGACTTTCTATGGATAGTAATATGAAATATTTTTACAGTGGCAACAACAGTAGCATGCCATCCCCATCCCAATGACAACTCCTGTAAAACAAAATATTAAAAATGTCACATATAAGAAAGGAAGTTTAGAGAAAAAAAAATCAATTAAGTGATTATGAATTAATGAGATCTAACTATGTAAACGTTTTTCCCATTCTTACCCTAAATTTATTCGACTAAGTATGTATTTTGAAATATTAAATTTGTTAAATATACAAATGTTTAATTATGTAATTTATTTAAAATAATATTTCAAAAACTCGAAAAAAATGTTTTGAAATTATAAATTTAAATAATTTTTTCAAAAAAAGAAAAAGCTTATAATCCAATTCCATATGATCCAACGATCAACTGTGAATTGAGTTGAATTAGGTAGAAAAAAAATTGAAAACTTAACTCAGTCCAATTTAATTAAATTTCTTCTAATAAATTGAAGGATGGGTTAAGATAATCCAACTCAATTTTGTACAGTATGTTTTAGTTAGCTCCCTACTTTATGTTTAAGAGAAGAAAAGAAGAAAAAAAAAGTGAAATAATTTTGTCTGTCCTGAATTCCAATATAATTCATGATCATATAGTACCATTTCTCCCAGTGCAATATTTCATGTTTCTTGTGTGTTTTCTTTGTCGTTGGCTTTCTTATGTCCACCCCATGTCCGTATCCTATCTTTGGCAAGGGAGGCCTGCATTAGTTTTCATTTAATAATTAATTGTTTGTATGTCAAAAGCAAACGTCACTGGAACTTGCAATTGTTTATATACAACACCTCTTGGTTCCAGTTAGTTTTGTAAATTAACACCAAAAGAACACACGTTTGCAGCAATGTCCCTGACATCATTCCAAGCCAGATTCCCTGAAATCCAACAATTCACCACAATAAATAACTGAATATCATCATATACTTTGTTTCACCTTTTCACTAAAAAGTAAACTTTCATATACATGTTCATATTCTGCGTGGAAAGTATTTGTACAAGTAAAGGGAGGAACAGAGAATGTACCTTGACACCCCAGTCAACCTTGTAACCCAATACAAGACCAACAGGAATTCCGAAAAGATAATAGCATCCTATGTTTACATACGCAACAAGAGCCTGCCATCCAGCCCCAATTGCAACTCCTGCACGAAATTAAAAATGTGACTCATGCAATAATAAAAGACAACGTTTATGCTTCAGCTTTGTTACCTGAAAGAACAGGTTGAACGTTATTAATTACAATGCAGAAGCATAAGAATGGTGTTAGTTCCTTCACCAATTTTTTTACTTCTGTGTCGTTTGAAAACAGAGAAGGGTACTCATTCCGTGAGATCATCAAAACAAGAGCCAGTAAAAGTCCTATCAAAATTGAAGTCATCACAGCCACCACCAGAGAAAACAATGCTGTTCTTGGGTGATGTGCTCCTAGTTCATTCGATATTCTCACACTGCCAATTTTCATTCAAACCTTACATAATATCATCGTATTAGTTAAAGAATATCTTTATTTTCACTCTCTCACCGTTTCTTCTAATATAATAATTAAGATAGGTTATTATTTTAAATTACTCAATGATAAAAAACTATACTCTTACTCTTATTTTTTATGTAAACGATTTTTTTTGCGTAATTTTTATTTTTTAAGTAAATGAATCTCTTCTTAATTATGAAAACATGATTATATTATATACTTTTGAAAGGCATTTAATTATATTTGATTATTTTCAAGAATACTTTAAAATAATCTAAATAGAAAACAAAATTTGTAAAGCTAATAGTAATAAAATATTCACATCCTAGTAAGAATAACATTTTCCAATGTTTTATGGGATTGTAAACTACATAAATAATGGAATATGGTTTTCTTGCAGTAGAATGTATTTTAAAATTATATAACCTCATAAAAAATAGAAATCTATGGTTTTATTATTATATTGGCTAGAATAAACGAGGAGGAATAAATAGCCCTCAATTAACAAATTTGTTTTATATATATAAAAAATAATAATAAAATTGAAATTTACTACAAAAAAATAGTATTATGTAAAAGTATTTACATTTAAATACTAACAAAACAATTATTGTTGTCCATTTCACTTAAAGATAAAAGTATAAAAAATGTGGTGAAAGAAAAAAAAATTCAACCCCATTGACAAACGAATTCATTATTGCCTTTTACATTATTGTTAGTGATCCGCCACTATTTAAATAGTGTCGTAGATAATAATTTTTGGCTAAAAAAAATAATTAAGCTTATTTATTCAATGGCGGAGGCGGAATTATTACGTTTAGAGTTATTCTTAAAATTTGTCAAAATCCTGAAAATTAGTGTTTTTGTTTTCTTGGGAAATGGATATAAAATTAAAAATAGCATAAAATTGAAAACACAACAGCGTACGTGCAGATAATCATTCTTACCAGATAGAGAAGGCGTCGACGGATATTTCTGCATTTTTCAGGTATCCAGCGAACAAGATGATGGCCATGAAGTACCATGTTTCCAAGCTGCGCATGCATCACACAAATACTTATGGTCTTCAAATAAAAAATTACACTTAGTTTTATTATGAGAAAAATAATGTTTCAAAACAAAGAGTTTATAGCAAATTCTTATACCTTATGAAGAAAACGTAACAAATTCTTATCATATTTCGTAGTAGTTTTATTTTTTACCATTCCCCTTAACATTATTTATCTTTTTTTTTTTCCTTCTCTTACACCAAAATGAACTGTTATAAAGAAATTATATATACTTAAATATCATTACTCAAATGTTTAAGTATGATTTTGCATGTGCTTGTAGATATTGTTAAAATAATTGTTGTTCTTTTTTATATTTTGTTTTGTATCGATAAATATAAATTATTAGAGGAGTGATATTTTGATATTTACTCATTCAAATAATTTTTCATACAATCTCTTTTTATTAGTATAATAATACTAAAAAAAATTTGATAAAAATAAAAATAGATTAAAATTATTATTATTATAATATTAAAAGTGAATTGTTTTTTTAAATATGTATAAAATTAGATGGTAAAAGTATCATTTTCCAAACTATTAATACGCTAGTTTTTTGTTAAAGTAATAATCGAAACTTGTCTTGTTACCAACTTTGCTTTTATTCGTTTCGTGTCTATCATTTTCACTTTACTTTATTGGTTTAATATCTAATTTTTTATACTGCCATTTTGTTTTGTTGGTTGAAACCTCCAAAACCTTTTTGTTTAATACTCCCATTATAACATAAATAATATTACTATTATTTATAGTAATAATTATGTAGTGGACTAGGGAATCAGATAACATTTCCTGCGCTTATCTTTAAAAGAAAGTAATCAGTGATGAAAAAGTTAAGAAATAGTTGGTTAAGTCCTGCTTTTTAATTTTAAAAAATAATATTATTAATAAATGTTAAACAAATATTTGTTAGTATAAGTTTAGAGAAAAATATTTAATAATTTTAGTTGAAAAGTTTTCTTAGAAAAATACATCAATAATAAAAATTAATTGTAAATAACAATGATAAATTATTTAGTATAATTATAGTAGAAATATATTACTAATAAAAATTATATTATATGAATTTGTATTTTTAAGTTTTTAGAAAATATAAATAAAAATATGTTTTAGTAATTCTACTAATAAAATAGTTATAAAAAATTATTTGTGATAACTAAAATTAAAAACCTTTTTTTAATTAGTAAAATAAACTACTTATTTATTTTAATTTTTAACAGGATTAATTTTATATTTTCTTTTTCTAAAACATACCTCATATATATATTAACCTTCTTATAATAAAACAAAAAAAATAAAAATAAAAAATAATAATATAACGTGTTAATTAATTATTATGATTATTATAAAATATTATATAATTAGATATAAAGAATAAATGGTCAAATTATTATAAAAATAAAGGATTCATTTATTTTACTAGTAAAATTTAAAGATTGAATTATTTTAATAATAATTTATTTTAACTTTTAGATTAAAAATAAATATAAAATGAAAAATAAATCTTAATTTTTACTCATGAATAAATTAATCTTTGTTTGTTACATATTTGTGGTGAGGTTGAGGTGTAAGCACTGACCAGAGCTAGGCATGGCAAAACGGGTCCCGTTTTGGCCCGCCCCGTCTTTGGCCCGCCAAAAGCGGAGCGGGGCGGGCTGGCCAGAGGCGATAGATAGGCGAAAGAATGCCCAAAGATTTCCAAACGCTTCCCAGGAGAACCATTTCCATGCTGGCCTACACCAACCACTGAACACATAACCCAACTGAGCCACTACTATAAACCACCACGACCCATTTAGCACCACCGCCGCACCCACCAGACCCCACTCCACCTTCATTATTAGCAACCAGCTCAACAACGGGTGCACCACCATGGCCACCCCGGATATCACAGCGATCACCATCACCTTGCTCTGCGCCTGCAAGAACTTCGCCACCGGAAAATTGAGCGCGTATGCAAACAGCTGCGGAATCATCCATACGGCGAATTTTCCCGCAGCTTGAGATATGTTGGGGTCTTGGCCTATGAGATTCAGAATAGTTCCTGCGAAGATGTACAAAAAGCATAGAACACAAGCCGTGCTCAAGAGTAACACCCACGATCTTTGCATGTACAAGCCTAGCATGTCAAGATTCCCTGCCCCCACTGCTTGCCCACACAGCGTTTCCAACGCGCTTCCCATCCCTAGCTGTTTCAATCAATGCGGTTTTTCACTGTAACATGTCATGTAATTTTAACCCTAATACCTTAGAAACACAAAAGATAAAAACACTATAATTTTACGAAAATTTAAAAGGGGATGTAACATGAGTCATACGGAAGAATCTTTACGAGTCACTGAGGTAGCTCCTTCATTAATCATCAACCGAGTGAAAAAAAAAAAAAACTGTTCTTTGATTTATGGAGATAGGACTGTACCATTATACCGAAGGAGAAGCCAGCGATGAGGGAGTTCTCGACGGATACGGCGGCGAGGTCAATGGTTCCGACGTGGCCAGCAAATATTTGAGTGAAGGCGCCTAGGGAATACTTTGAGACGAAGGAAAAGATGGCGGGACCGGCGAGGAACCAGAGCTTCTTGGACTCCACCATGAATTCCCTGTAGAAGTCGCCGGGGCCGGTGATAGGAGCGATGTCAGGGGTGCCAGCTGTGAAAACTGCGGCGGTTTGTGGGTGTGGATGGGAATCATCTGCAGTGTTTGTGAGAAGTGGCTGTGTGGAGTTGCCATCTGAGTGCTCCATCCATGTGATGATAGGTGACACATTCACGTGTTTATAGGGACGAAAAATTAAACCCTTAAAGGTGAGGATCCACTTGTACGGATTCGAGTTTCACAGAAAAAAGCTGAGTTCGACAGGTTTTAGTTTTCCCAGTTTTAAAAAATTCGGGGGGAACGGCATGAGAAATGTAATTCCCCATCTTCGGGATGGGAAATGAAATCCTGGTCTCCAATCTAACATGTTGTAGATTTCTCTTTAAATTTTAATTTTAATTTTAATTTTAAAATATTAATATTTTAAAAGTATTTTTTTCTTATTCATTATATATAAAGTAATTTTTTATATTTTATTAACTTTTATTTTTTTATTGTTCACTTTTTTATTTTTTATTTTTTTATATTAATTAATTTATTACATTATTTTTTTCTTATTTTTCAGTTTTTTATATTTTTTTAATATTTTCTATTAATTTTATTTTATTTTTCAATCTTTTCAATATTTTTTTAATATTTTCTATTAATTTTATTTTATTTTTCAATCTTTTCAATTAATTTGATGAACACAAAGTTAATTTTTTTCTTCTCTATTTTTTTAATATTTTTATTAATAAATAATATTATTTTATTTATAATTTATATTTATTAGATTTTATCATATCATATTTTTTTTATCTTATTATTCTTATTTATTATATATCAAATTTTATTTTAATAAAAAAATTGTATTTTAAAAAATTAAAAGGAATTGATAATTAAAACTTTTATTACTTCAAACTAATTAAATAAGAATTAATTTATTAAATATTTTCTTACAAACTATATATTTCATATTTTTAAATTTAAAAATAAATTCACTTATATATATAATCAAATATATGAATACAAGTACTATAATAATAATGTTATAATTATTCAAATATTTGAATACAGTGTTATAATAATAATAATAATAATAATAATAATAATGTTATAAATATTCTATATATATAAATAAAAAATAAATAAATATTTTTTTACATATATATTTTAATATAAAAATTAAAATGTATATTTAATTAATAATAATTATAAATTATAAAATTATAAATATTTATTTATATATAAAAAATACATAGTAAAATTAATTTATTATAAATGTAATATCTTTTTAAAAATAATATAGATCAGATACGAGGTCAAGAAATCGAAATTCAGCGGAGAAACAAGAATGAGATGGGAACTTAATTTCTAACTCCGACGAAGATCGAGGACGGAGACAAGATGGTTAAAAAGGTTGGAACGGGGATCGGGAGGTAAAACCCGCCCCCGTCCCGTTGTCATGCCTCATGTCTAAGGTGGGCAAATTCATTATAAAATAGATAAATTTAAGAAAAATGTTAAAGATAGATAATTGTGATTATATATTCGATTTTAGCCTTAAAAAGAATAGCTTACGTGAAGATGACTTTTTGAGTTGATAATTTTAAGTCATGTTCAAATAAATAGTAAAATTTCCTTAAAATCATCTCTTTCATTTACGATTTTAGTTTATTATTTTAAAACTAAATTCTATTTCTAAAATTTTCTTTAATATTTAAAATTTTAATTACTTAATTATTATTTAGACATAACGAGAAAAATATACATATATTATATAAGAGAATGAAATTTTATATTTTTATTTTTTAAAATGGATAATTATTATGATTATATATCTTTTTTTACTTATTCAAAACATGATCATTCATCTCTTTGTCAATACAATTTATTGTTAGTTTTCATGATTGTTATTGATGTAAACTTGAACTAGGACCATGTTTTAAACCCAATTAAGAAGATCAATAATCTTCTTTTTGAATTGGACGAAACTACACCTCACAAGTCTTATAATAAATTGTACCTTATACACCGAGTCAACCTATATGTCAATGTATAAGTGATAATATGAAAATACAACAATGACATCAGTGCAAGGAAATCAAAGACATTGAAACTCTACATAATCACACCATTAATCATTTAATTTGACGGTATAGTTCATGGGACATCCACAATATTGAGAATTTGATCCTTTGGGGCATCAAACTCAAAATTTTCTCAAATGTAGTTTTAAACAATACTTCCCTACATGTCACTCATTTTATCTAAGCAAGTTAACAATATTAAATAATGATGTTTTGCTTGTAATATGTACTCTGCTTTAGTATATTGTTCAATAAATCATGATTCAGTTCTTTCAAATATGATTTTCATAAGGGTACATATGGATAAAACACGTACTTATTTCAAAATTGAATTGATGCACTAAGCAAAAAATTATTGTCATGTGGTTGTACCTTTTTCTCCTATCATACACTTGAGTTCACTTTTTTAAAGAAATTTCATCTAATCAAAAAATTGTTTGACAAAACTTAGACCTCGTAACATTTAAATTAACAGTTAATTTAAGTTGTTTCATCTTATATGCTATGAAATAATAAGAATTTATGAATTAGTAAATATGTCTACTAAATGGAAATAAAAGTAAAAATATATAATAATAATAATAGTAGAGTATATTATTTAATATTTTTTTCAATAGTTTAATATATAAAAAATTATTTAATATTATTAACATCTAAATAATAATTAATTTTTGTAATAAATAAAAACAAAACTTTTATTAAGTAAATATTTTTTTAATATAAAATATATGAACTAAAATGGTCAGTTAATTAACCATTTTAGAAAATTCTTTAACTAAAATCATCAATGACTTTAATATTAATAAAATAATTCAACTTGTGACAACTTCAATATTAACAAAATAATTCAACTTTAGTTGTGACAACTTTTTAATAATAATAATAATAATAATAATAATAATAATAATAATAATAATAATAATAATAATAATAATAATAATAATAATAATAATAGTGTATTCAAGTCCGAAAAAAATAAATATGAAAAATTTGTATATCTTTCAAAGAACTTATTTAAACTAAGTCGTATATGAATTTAATCGATTTAAAAAAAAATATATACTCATTTTATAAATAATAAAAGCAAACTACACCATTGGCCTCTAACTTGTCTTATTTACAATTCCACACTTTATTAAGTTTTCTACCCCACTTATCTTTTCAACTTTAAAATTATCTATATAATTAATAATTTAAAATTATTTTTTTGTTATATTTTAAAATAATTTAAAATATATTTTTAAATTTATTTTAAATAATAATATAATTTAATTTATATTTAAACAATATATATTTAGAATAAAATAAATTCTTTAATATATTTTAAATTAAGATAAATATTATAAAAACTATAAATAATTTGGTTAGTTAATTATAGCAATAAATCTTTTGATATAATTTGAATTAAGATAAATATTATAATGAATTGATTAATTATATTATATTATATATTTTTATGATAAATATTGTAAAATTTAATCATTTTAATAAATAATTATTTAAAAAAATTATATTTAATAAATTATTAGATATATTCAAATAATTAACTGGTTTTACACTAATCGATAAATTATCGGGTGGATGTTCACGTTATTTATAATTTTTTAATATTTATCTTAATTTAAAATATATTTAAATTTAAATTTATTTAAACTTATTTTGAAATATAATTTTATCAAAAATTTAATTAGATTTTTATTTTATATTACATGGGAGGAAATATTTAAAAAGGATAAATAAAAAGAAAAATAAAAAACGAGAGAAAACTATACTAATATAATAGAGATAAAAAAGAAAGAGAAAATAACAACAATTTTTTACAGGAACAATTCGAATGAGTTCTTTCTTATATTTAAAACAGTAAAATATAGATTTATTGTATCAGATAATTGTTAAAAAATTTATATTTTATTTCTTTAAAAATAAAATTTTATAATAAATTTTAAAAAAATTGTTTATTTTAATTATTTTTATAAGTTGTACTTAATAAAGTATCTATCAATAAAATTTAAACAATTTATTATACTATAAAAAATTATTCTAGTGAAAAATTATTTAAAACAAATAATACTCTTTATTTAAGTATTCTATAAAACAATTTTCTGTCGAAGATGCTCAGCATAAGTGACTAGATTGAAAAATAAGTAAAAGAAAAAATCTGCCTTTTTAAGTACCAAGGAATTGACCAAAAAAATAAAATTAAATGTGACATATATGCTTAATTATTTTTCACATATATACGAATGAGTGAAAATAGTAAAAAAATTAGAGAGAAACGTTATTTTGGAAAAAAAATCATTTAAATAAATTATTATTTATTTTTATTATTATTATTTTAATATATATAATCATTATTTTAATAAAATATTATAAACATGAAAGTATTTATAAAATCAAATAAATAATTTAAAATATTCTTTTAGTTTTTGTAATATAATTTTATTTTATTAATTTAAATTAAAATATTACAAAAATTATAATAAAAATATATTTAAATAAAAATTATTTTATAATTATATATCAAAGTATATTGTTAAAAATATAAATATTAATCTAAAAGTATTATTTTAAAAACTAATCTATCTATAAAAAATTAATTATTAAATATTTGATTTTAATTTAATTATTTATTAATTTTTAAAATAATTTATTTTTTTCTTTTCATATCATTTTTCTCACGAACAAAAATATTTTCACTATATTCTATCTTTCTTTCCTTTCTTCTCTTTTTCTGATTTTATTTTTTTTTCATACTTTTTTTCTTTATTATCCATCAAATCTTTAGATAAAATATAATAAATTGTCTAATTTTATGCAAATATAATGTGTTATGTGAACGTGTTGTTGATGTAAGATCGCTTTGATATAATCTTGTTTTTTAAATTTACTAAAATGGTTATTTAAAAATATATAGATAAATATTTTTGGAAAATAAATTTATTATAAAAAAAGTCGTATTTGTAAATATGATTTTTTAATAGAAGTATGTTTAATTTTAGTGTCTTGGTATGTTTAGCAACTCAAAAAATGCAATTGATAATCATGTCAAGGATTTGATCCAAGCTTTTCTGATTTGCAT